CCCACCCCCTTCTTCAGACCCCCGCCTTCCCCCCCCCCCCCCCTCCCAGAAGAATTTTTCGAATAAATTTTTTTTAAAGACCTCCCACAAGTCACCTGGAAATTGATCGCTCGCCGCAAAACGCAAGGCACCGCCGGAGGAGACGGCCATGTGTGCCGTGCATGCGGCATCGCGCCCGGCAACCCCGTTTCCAGCCGAAAATGCAGCAATCCAAATGCACGGAATTTCCCAGAAGTTCATCTCAGACACTCAGAAGGCATAAAAATTCCGAGTCGGTTCCACGAGTTAAAAAAAAAAGGCGAGCATGCCTGCGAGGATACGGGTGACCTGGATGCGAATCAACGTGAAGGAATTACCAATTAATCCATCGAGTCCGAGATCGATCACGTGATGGTCCTTCCCTTCCCTTCCCTCCCTTCCCTTCCCTTCCCCTTTTCCTCCCCCTTTCCCTTCCCATGCTGTCCTCATAATTACAAGGCAAAAGGATCTCGACGCGATCAGATCTTGATCTCTGATCCCTCTTCCGTTTTCGGAGGCCGTACCGCCTTCGTTTTCCGCTCACGACTTCTCGTATTCCTCTCCTCTAATTAATATGCGTCCCAAATTTCACTCCAAATTTTCACTCCAAAATTTCAGTCACGTTGCATGAAGCAACCAAACTTGTTCGAACTCGATGCGATCCGCTGCGTCCACGATTCAAAGTCCTTTTTCGGACTCCCGATGAATATGCATATCAAAGTGACTAAAAGTTTTGAAATTCGTTAATTTAAATAACGGTGTAAATCTATAAATTCACCCGACCTTTTTACCAGCCCTCTTACCACGTGTTTCCCACTTCTCGTTTTCTGGAACGAGTTACTGAGGAACATATGTTGTCTTCGGCTTCATTCAAGCGCGAATTTCCCTTATGAAGGATCCCGTTAATGGCAAGGGTGAAGCGCTGATTTTTTGCAAAACCGTCGAACGAACGTCGTCCGAATGGAGTTCATTTCGTCGCCTGCGAACAGGTCCGTGTTCGTTTTTTAAATTTTGAATTGGGAGACGACGAGAGGAAAATGAACCCAGCTGAATGTATCCCGGTGGGAACTTTTAATTAATTCGATTCAAGTCGGTCCGGCATCTGGAAACACATTCCGGCATTATTTACCGGCTTGTCCCTCGAGTCGAGGGGGGGGGGGGGAAGGGGGGGGGAGGGGGGGGGGGAATGGAACTTGCTGACGTGTTCGGCGATGATTGTGAATGATTCCGTAACGCAAAGGAACGGGGAAAGAGGAGCATGAGGAAAAAAAGGGATACGCATGGCCGACCACCTCGGCCCACTTCAATGTCTTTTTTTTTTCACCCTTACCTGAGAAGATGGCGATTCATCCATACATCATCCTCTTTCTATTTTTCAAGGACCCTCCACACCGAGAACTCATCCGGAAAAACGGTGTGTTCCTATTTAAGGGGGGGGGGGGAAAGAAATGGCCCCATCACGCCGTGACAAATCCAATCCCTCGAATCGTCGGGGTAAACGGAATGCGAAATGAATGGAGAAGTCGGAGACGCGTCCGCGAGTCGAGTCAGGCGAAATCAGCCTGCGAAATCTTCAATGTATCTCCTGTCATTTTTATTTACGTCCAAGTATATGTCTGCTTTTCCGCGATCTTAAGATTCGGTGCCGCAGGTACTCGAGTAACTGTTGCGGCTTTTGCTGCAGCTAGACGAATTCGAAGCGTGAATAAATACGCCAGTAAGAGGGACGAGACAATCACATGCCGCTCGGCCGAGGATGAGGATGGGAGAGACATCGTCCGAGTGTGGCCTCGGGGTCCCGGAGGAACCGTGGGGGAGCATGGAAAAAGTATAGCGTGGCTCTTTTGTGTTTTCTTGGGGGCCCCCGGTCCATTAATGGAGGTATCCTTGGGCGCTTTTTCACTTTTTTTTTGTCTTTGATCCCCGGGTCGAGAGAGCCCTTCCCCTCTGACGTCGTCGATCCGTCTGCTTCGAGACGAGAGAAATGACCAGAAAAAAAGGTTTCCGACGGTGTTCAAACGATATGTTGTATTCCAACATGCTACACCATTCGACACGAGCTGCATTCGTACTCAACATGCAAAAAAAAAAACGAACTTTATCACAGACTTGGTCTCGGAAGAAAAAAAAGGGGACGGAAACAAGTTTGAGCAATTTTGGATGAAGAGGCAAAAGCAGAAATTCGAAGAAAGACAGGAGGATTGTCGTCGATTGCACTTTTCAGGGCAGTATTATATGATCAACAAGGCGCGGAATGTTCATTTTTTATATATCGTAGGAACTAATGGCGCTGGAGGAGTTCATGTAGGGCGGAGATGTAGGTTTGTGCCATCTGCAACGTTTCGAACTTCGACAGTTTTCGGTCGTTGCCAAGGGATGGCACGACTTCCCGGAGTCGGTCGAAGGCGTCGTTGAGGCAGTTCATTCGCTTGCGCTCGCGGGCGTTCGCCGCGACCCGCCGTTTCTTCAGCACCTCGGGCGTTGGGTCCTTCTGAGCGCGTTTCCGCGACGACGCGGACGAGAGCCGGCCTCCCCGGGAGTTCTTCCGTTTGACGACGGACGACGACGTTTCCTCTTCGCTGCACGGCGAGGGCGACGCCGTGAAGTGCTGGAAGTAGTCGCTGCAGGAGTCGCGGCTCGCGTCGTCGCCAGGCCCGATGCGTCCCAACGTGGGCGGCGCAGACGACACCGGCGACGTCATCACATACTCCCGCGGCGTGTACGTGTAGGAGGGAGTCTCGTACGGCTGGTAGGAATACGGCGGGTAGGACAAGTTGGACTGCGGCGGCGGAGGCGGTGGCGGGGGCGGCGGTTCATAGTGATCACCCTTCGGGAGGTAGAACTCAGAGACGACGGAAGCGAGCTCCACGTGGAACGGGTCCTCCATCACGATCGTGGTCCCAGGTCATTCAGACTTTAAGACGATATGTAGAAGATCGGAAGACCGATATGTGTGTCACTGAGGGAGACCGCAGACCCGCTACGTCTCCTTCTCCAACTCTTCTGCCTTTCCTGACCTCCACATTCCTGGGGGAAAAAAAGGTGAAAAAAAAAATAAACCTCTCTGGCTTTTCGAAAAAGAGATAAAAAGCTGACAAAACGAGTTCGTGGAAGAATTCGATCGGGGTCGAGGAGTTCCGTTCATTTGGAGTCTTTTACGTTCCCGCAATTTTTTGGACTACTTCAGCGTGATTTCAGTCTCTGCCTTTAAATTGCGTCTGCGAGGGATATGAAATAAAGCTGAAGAGATTTTTCCCAAAGCATTCCGCTTTCATGCCAAAGCGTTCCTCTTCGCTTTCATTTTTCTTCCTGTCACAGCCGGACTATCAACTCTCCAAAAGCAATAAATTCCGTATTCATATTCCTGATACATATAAACTTGAATTACGACCAGGAAATTTCTTAATGCTATAATATCAGGCAATCGGAGTTTATTGGTTCGAATGCTTGGACTAATAATACGATTCTGACCACTGTAGCAAAACTGGCCCCTGACCACTGTAGCAAAACTGACACGCTGACCACTGCAGCAAAACGCAGCGAAATTCCCTCGATGATACGAAGTTGCTTCAAAATGTCTTCCGGGATTCACTTCAAGCTTAAATAATTGGCTTACAGACCTTATTGAGTCCAAAACGAGAAAGTTTTATTTCCCGATGTCTCGATATAGAAATCTCCCAAATGTTATTGAAGAGAGATGAAGTGTCCGCGAGAGAGATAAGGAGGGATACAATTACAGAAGAATTACGGTCCGTGCCCAGCTTTTACGACCCATATATCTATATCCACCCGGGCTGGACCGATATCAAACCTTCGAATCACTCTCTCCTGCGCAACCTAATCTGGTATTTGATCGGCTCCTGGTTTATGAGTGGCCATTGGTGAAAGAGGCTCGCATATTCTCATCTCGACCGCAATAAACGAGGCTCTCGCTTCGCACCGGTGCTTCGTATATTGAACCATTACAGAGCTTCCGTCGTATTAATATATTGGACATGAACCATTACAGAGTCGTATATTGGAGTTCGATACTGTAAAATATTGGCGGTGAAAGTCGCCATTAATCTCTAATATAAAAGGGGTTCTTACGAGTGCCTTCGCGGAGAGATCACGATGATGCGACTGGTTTAAATAAATAAATAAAAACTCAATATATTAGTGAGATGATCTTGCTGAGACTGATATGATGAAACTGTTGAACTTTATCACAGGACCTCTGTATCCCAATGCATCATTCTAGGGCGCAAAAAAAAAAATTTTGATTTCCGAATGCGTTTTTTTTAAAATATATTTTAAATTTAAATATCGATTGGACTTTCTTGGTAAGTACTGAAAATTTAAGATCTTTTATTTATTTATCCAGGATCTTATTAAACACTTTTTTGGTACTAGTTCTAAGCAAAAATGATGTTCGTATGAAACAGATAACGTCAAGTTCGAATTATTTCATGCTTGAAAACTTACACAAACTCGCAAAAACTAAAGGGATAAAAGAGCGATCATGATAATTATGAATGAGTAATTCAGCGGCAAAGCATTACCATGTTGAAGTCGTGAAAACGCTGTTAATGTCAAACTAAAAAAAGTAGACTTGATAATTTCGAAGCTGCATACCTCAAATCCGTTCAACTCGATTTGATTTCGTTATGGAATTCTATGGGAATATTTGACACTGGAATGAGGTAGTTTTAGCAAGTGCTCGACGTTGAAGAGAAAAAGCATACCGGCAAGAAAACGCAGCGGTGGAATGAACCAAAAGCGGTAGAGGGTGTATGCACTGCGACGATCACAGAACCGAGCGAGGCGGCACGCAACAGGAGCGAAAAGGTGGGAGAAGCTGGAACTCGTAACGTCGAAGGGGGAGGGAGAGACGGAGACGTGCACGGGACGAGGGTCGGCGGCGATGTGAAGCGTGAAGTCCTTCGGGGAACCCGGTTTCATCCCTGCATCATCTCTCGGGGAATCCTCAGGCTCCATTCTCCTCCTCCTTCGGTTTCGGGTCTCCTGCCTAGATGGCGCCGCGAGCTCGGGTCTCCCTCGCCCGGGGGAAACTTTTCGGATTTCCCTTTTTCTGGGACTTTATTTTTGGGGGCTCGAAAAATGAATCGTATTTATGCACGGGGGGAGTCTCATTACGTCTCGCGCGTCTTCATCTCCCTCTCTCTCTTAACGGAGATGGATGGTCCCGAAAATACGAAGGGAGGACTTAATTCTCTTGTTGTTGATCCGGGCGTCGAAGTCTCCAAGGATAATGAATGAAACGGGGCTGATTGCCCGATTGCGCATCGTTCCTTGCAGGAGGAAAAAAGAGCAATTCCACATAACGGTTCTCGGGGAAGAAAAGGCGTCAAAACTTCCTTATTCCCCCTCGTAGAATTTATGGACCCGAAGACGAGACAAAAACAAAGGAGACGTGCTCAAGCCTTTGTCTTCCGCCGGCCGCCACCAATAAATAACTTATTCAGTTTGCCCTCAATTTTCCTGCATTTCGTTCCCGCTGAATTTGAATGAAATTATCGTTTGTCTTTTAAATAATATAAAATTTTAAAATAAACATTCACGAGGATGTCCGTATCACACGAGATGTTATTGCACCACGAAATCTAGTCTGTAAGATGTCACCGTCCTGTCAAAACGAGACGACATGACACGCGAAATCGACTCGTCCTCATCTCTTGTAATTACTCTCCGCGATAATTAGCCGCGATAATTAGCCTTGGATTTTTTTGTGTATTTTTTTTTGCCAGTTTTTTTTTTGCGGAATGGGGCTGGCAAGAGGCGACTTGAGGTCGCGGGGCCCTAATAAACAGTGGTCGCGTGGCAAATCCGTCGCTCCTGCCACTTTCAACATCTGTTGTCCGCTGATTTTTGACGGGGTTTTAAATTCGCGTTCCGGCTCGTTGTCCTCCGTTCGCTCGTTCCCGATGAGTGGATCGTGGATTAAATTCCATCGCGAAGGATCATCGCCCCGAATTACCTCGATCCCCGCGCTCCGAGGCTCATCTTTCCCGCGCGAAAATTAAAAGATGGTCGAAAAATAACAAAATTGAAGGGGGGGGGGGGGAAAGCGGTAGAAGGCTAATGATGAACACTGTCGGTTCGTCCCTTCCGCGAAGAAATGAATGATAAATTCGGTGGGTCAGCTCATTAATTCCTAAGGGCTCATCATAGGGGGAAAAGGGACTCTCAAGCCTCTCCTGCTCTTTTTTCTTTCCAACCCCCCCCCCCCCCCCCCCCCCCCCCCCCCCCCCCCCCCCCCCCCCCCCCCCCCCC